TAGTTTTGATAAATTTATTAATTTGTTTTCACAAAAAATATCAAAGATCTCATGTAAAATTAAATTATTTGGTTGAGTGATACTATCGATAGAGTAAAAGGTTAGACTAGATTCGTCGGAAAGTATGTAACAGGCAAAAGGAAGCGTTTCGGACCCCATAAAATATATATATTCTTGAAAGGATCACGTCTGTCCGTTTGTCCGTCTGTCCGTATGAACTCTAAATTCTCGGAAACTGTAAGAGCTAGAATGTTGAAATTTGGTATGAAGATTCATAGGCATACGTTTGTTTCAGCAGGGTGCCACGCCCTCATATTTTAATATTTTGTAAAAATTTAAATGATGATTGTTCATACAGAAAATCGGTTTCTTTCGAAATTTCACTATGTACAGTGTTAGTGAAATCTTGTAAACAGCCAATAGGAATGACCGATAGGTCTTTTTTTAGCTGAGTAACGGGTATCTGATAGTCGAGGCCGTCGACTATAGCGGTTTCTCTTGTTTTAATTACTGACTTTGATATTTAATTGCTTGAATGTAACGTAGCAATTCTGAATGAACAATGTGAAAAGTGTCAAGTAATTTCGGGCTCCTAACTCGACGACCCTTTTGTCGCTCAGTGCGATACGCTACCCCTAGAAAACGATGACCTGGGTTCGGATACGGCAGCGGTTTCCTGGGATGTTATTCCAGACAATTGCATGCTATTGACATTTCAATTGTCTCTCATTATTGCCAGGACCGAGAACGTAATACTGGCGTAGGGAGCTAGAACGACCCTCGTTCAAACTACAAAAAATAGAAACAATGAGAAAGCAGTTCAGAGGGGGTAGCACACGCATGCAATGAAAGCAAAAATTAGCATAATAATAGCAATTGCACTCGCTTCAGGTATTGAACACTCTGTCCTACCCATTCCGGACTGGATTGGGAAATAATGCAAAAAAATAACGGGTAGGAAAAGAGAAAAGGGAATGCCAATTGTGTAGAATCCAATTTTCACCTAATGTCGGTCACAGTCAAACGGAGTATATCAATGTCCCCTTCGATTGGCACGACACCCATTTTCCTAAAATAAGAAAATAGTCGCCAGTGCTTCGAGCCATTTTCATTTCGTTTGTTATTTTGTTTCAAAGTATCAATTTGTGTATCATTAAAATAATTTGATTTCCCTTCCACTTGACGAAAAGGCGACCCTACCCATTAGGTAAGGGGTTCAACCTTGCCTTTTTCCAACATATTTTGTCGCATTCAGCCGGCGGGGACGAGAAACCCTTTAAAGTATTTATTTTCTTATCCTCAAGCTGACATGACCCCGAGCCCTAATTAGGAAACTCAAGACATATAATAAGGTAACTTGATTTAGAGGCGTCTTACACATATTACATTTCCTTCTGCCGTGGGGGACTTGTAGGCACCGAAAATAAATTAAAGTAAACGTATATATATTCTAAAAACTTTACACATAAAAGGGAACTATTTATAGGCCTTTCGACGCCAAATGTGTACCTGTTTTGCTATTAATTTGTTATATGTATCTTTATTTAATAATAATAATAATAATTTAATAACTTTGTGTCGAAAAAAATAAAGTTGTAAACTTCAAATCGCTTGGGGTTAGCGTTAGTGTAAATTTGTATTACAACAAAAGAAATTACAAGGGGATCAAGTACAGATATTTTACCAAAGAAAAAATATTATTAACATATTATTGCTCACAAGCAACGTTGCTATTAAAAGGGTTAGAATAAATTGAAAGCAATTAATTAAATAATAGTTTGATAAGAACAATGAGTAAAGTAAATAATAATTCAAAATAACAATTTTAATTGTACGGCTGGGATCACATTTTGTAACATGGAATTTATGCACTGTGTGGCAGAGGGGAACAATAATTCTGACACGGAGCCTAGGAAGGACCCAGCATTTTGTCGGGGCGCACCCAGTCGTTGAAGTCCTTCTCCGATATGCCAGCTTTCAAGGCCTCCTCCTTTAGAGTGGTTCCATTCTTGTGGGCCGCCTTGGCGATCTGAGCCGACTTGTCGTAGCCAATATGCGGATTGAGGGCCGTGACCAGCATTAGCGACTCGTTCACGATCTTGGCCAGTTTCTCCTTGTTGGCCTTAATGCCCTTGACGCAGTTGCAGTTGAAGCTGGTGCACCCATCCGCTGGAAATAGGAAACTCTGATATGTTGTGTACTTTCTAGTTATGGAAATTCTACGATGGAATCTTTATATTTCCCAGATGATCTTAATTGCATGTTATTTTTTTTTTCAAGGGTTTAAAAACCTCTTATTGCCGAAGTTACTCTGCTTAAATTTAAGTTTTCAAAACGTTTTGTTGTCGATTCTGGACACACTTACCCAGCAGCTTGATGGAGCGCAGCACATTTGAGGCGATCAGAGGCTTAAAGACGTTCAGCTCGAAGTGGCCGTTGGCGCCGCCGACGGTGACGGCCACGTGGTTGCCCATCACCTGGGCGCAGATCATGGTCATGGCCTCGCACTGGGTGGGATTTACCTTGCCGGGCATAATGGAGCTGCCCGGCTCGTTCTCCGGCAGCAGGAGTTCGCCCAGCCCGCAGCGCGGTCCGGATCCCAGGAAGCGTATGTCATTGCTGATCTTCATCAGGCTGACGGCCAAGACGTTGAGGGCACCGTGCACCTCGACCATGGCATCCCGGCTGGCCAGGGCCTCGAAAAAGTTGGGGGCCACCACGAAGGGCAGTCCGCTGAGCTGCCCGATCCGCTTGACGCACTTTTCGGCGAATCCCCGGCGCGTGTTCAGTCCGGTGCCCACAGCGGTACCGCCCAAGGCCAGTTGATAGACCCGCGGCAGGACCGCCTCGATGCGCTGCAGCCCGTTGGTCAGCTGCTGGGCATAGCCGCTGAACTCCTGGCCCAGCGTCAGCGGCACTGCGTCCTGGGTGTGGGTGCGTCCGATCTTCACGATGTCCTTCCACTCAACGGACTTGGCCTGCAGCGAGTCCCGCAGCGCGGTGATCGCCGGCCGGAGATCCTTGGTCAAGGCGGTGGCCACCGCAATGTGAATGGCCGATGGGAAGGTGTCGTTGGAGCTCTGCGACTTATTCACATGGTCGTTGGGATGCACCGGGTCCTTGGAGCCGATCCGCCCGCCCAGCAGCTCGATGGCCCGGTTCCCGATCACCTCGTTGGTGTTCATGTTGCTCTGGGTACCGGATCCCGTCTGCCAGATGGGGAGCGGGAAGTGGCCCTCGTCGTAGAGCTTCCCGGAGATCACATCGTCGGCCGCATTCGATATCGCAGTGCTCAGCTTAGGGTCCAGTCCGAATTCCTGGTTGGTTTCGGCGGCCGCCTTCTTCAGAATGCCCATGGCCTGAACTACCTGGCGCTAATCTCGGTAAACAAGTCGGGAGTTATTTGGGCTTAATATTAACTTTAATTGTAAAATTAAATATTTGTATTTTTTTAAATATTTATAGTGAATGTGAAATCATTTTGAAGTATTTTAATCCAATGTTTGTTATCATATTTAGATTCTTCAAATTAGCTATAATGGTTATATTAAATATTTATGTGCTTTAAGATTTTTAGAGTGAATCAATGGATTAACTTGGTTTCTGGCCATGTGGTAATAAAATAGTTGTAACTTTTGCAATTTCATTTTCCCTACTTTAACTCGTACTACTTCTTAAAAATATTTTTACCGGCATTCGTTCCTCCTCCCCACCGATCCGGAAGTTTAGAAGGCAGCGCATGGTCTGTGCGCCGTAATAGCGATCCATGGGGACCTCCATGGGTCCCAAAGTGTCGTTCTCTTGGCGAGTCTCAACCTTCTTGCTGGAGCTCATCCTGGTACTCTTAAATGTTGTTTTTGGCAAGCAATCAAAAAATATACTCTGATGTCAAGCAGGAACACTTTATTTTGACAGAAAAATACAAGGGGTGCCGTTTGTGCGAAAAATGTAATAAAAAAGAATTAAAGTAGTTGTGGATTTTAAATCACTAAACAACATTTCATATTATTTACATAGTTTTTAATCACCTCTTCTGCTTTTCTTGACCTACATATTTTCAAAGTGTTTTTTGATGGAAGCGACAGTTAAGTAGATTGCATCGGGCTAATTAGGGCGCAACACAGGTGTGCAGTCAATACCTTATCTGGTGACATTGATTTGGGTAAGCGGTGAAAGTGTTAGAGCTGCACTATCTCCCTAAAGATGCAGGTGAGTCGGATCGCCCTGACTCTCTGGGTCGGATCCGGATTCTTTGGTTTTTTCGTTAGTCATTGTAACCTACCACCCGCATCACTCACTTGTAAGATTTACACTTGAAAAAATTTTAAACATTTAGGATTAATATTAAAAATTAAAAGGGTTTAAGTACTTAAGCAGGCATTTATGGCAATAAGTAAATTAAACACATTAATGATTTTCAAAAAAATATAGAGGAAGGTTTTGGAAATTAAATATCAGCTAATTAAAATTTGATTGGAAAGATTTTTGCAAATTATCGAATATTATAAATTTTATTTGGTAAGTACAAAAATATAAACGAGAATTTATTTATGGCTTTCAATTTAATTCAGTGTTTTATATATTTAAATGTACGTGTTTTTTATTTAAAAGATATTTTTACTCCGAGATGTTATATAACTTCTCTTAGTGTGCACTTGAGACGAATTGCCTTTGTCTTTGTCTAACCGTATGATGGAAGTGTGTGTGATTTCCATTTGTTTGGGGAACCACTGGGTTCTCTGCGTAGGTGCGTTGTATCGTGAGGTTTGGCAAAGCAGTATTCTCGGGTTTGGGCCATGGCCCAGACAACCTGGCCAGACACGGCCGACAATCGATGTCGGGCAGAAACGTCTTATCATTGTTAGGCGGGTGGCTGAAGTGGAGCAAATTAATTTCGTTCGTTTTAATTATTGCTCTTCTTCAGATTCCTATTTTCCTGTCCGTCATACAAGTTGGTATAATTTGAGAGCTATTAACTCGCCGGCTCTTAAGGTCATGGAATCATGATTTAATTATTTAAATGAATTCACGTTTGGACTTTGCTTTTCTTTTCTCACATTGTCTGACCAAAGACCGTAAATCATGCACATCATCGTGATTTTTTGTACAGGTCTTGTCATGGTTCTACTTGGAGGGATCTCTCGGACGTCAGAGGTACTCAGCTGGGTCTCTTGTCATTGGATTTGTATACTGATGTTCTGAAATAATACAAATATAAATATTTGTTCTTTAGGATACGAATAAAAGGGTTAAGCCTGGATTACAAGACATTCTTACAAAATGTATCCGGGCGAGTCCGAAGTTAACCGTTGACCCCGTGGCGAATCGCGTGTATTCTGGCCGCTTCAAACTTCACACCCAGGGCACACGAAGTATCCACCTCCACCGATTTCTCCTATCGTTCTTACCATATTCCTGCGGTTTCCTCGGTCCGCTGCCGTGCTTTCCTTCTGGCGAACAACACATGGGCACGCAATGTTTCCGCTGCAACGGCAGTCTAAAGTGTCCAATCAAGTTTTTGAAATGAAACCTAAATAACATGTCATAATAAATAACCTTCAAGCGACCCGGGGGCCGCCAGTTGACTCTGGCCAACGGAGAAATCCAAAATCCTGTAATTACAACGTAAATCCAAAATGTCTCAACGCCGCACAGCCGTTGCAAACTCACCCAAACAAACGCACACAAAGACCCGAAGGAAACTTAATTCATATATCAAAAAGTTTTTCGGACCGAACAGTGGACGAGAGTAGCAATTTGCGCGCAAGTAGCCGGCTCCACCAGTAAGACCAAAAACGCAGACCAAGTCCAAGACGTATTCGACCACTGGGAGAAAAGTCGTATAGTTGTGGGAAAAGCTAAAATAAGGATATCCCATAAGTTAAAGTTATTTCGATTATATGCTCACTTCTGGTTTTAAATCTTGTCAGTTAGAAAATTATAAAAACTCTCTGGACAGGAAAAAAAGTTTATTTTTTAAGTTGCCTAATATATTATCATGCTTTATATATTTCTTATTTTTTGTGCATACCACTTTTAAATTTATAAAATATATATTTGCCATAATAAATTATATATATATATATAATATAATATTCATTGGGAGAGTTTATTTGTCCATTTTCTGGCAATTCACATCATGGACATAGAAAGTATTTTTTTTTTAATGCCTTATTTAATACTTGATCATTTCGTTCAGTGTGGAGTATATCGTACCCACTTTGCAGGCAGGTCCTCGGCTTGTTCTTGGATTTCTGGAGGGCGTCGTGCGGGTGGCCACCCAGGATCGGGGGAATTGGCCCAGGAAGGCCAGCAGCGGATGCGGAAAAGGGAGCTCCCTTCTGGGGTCTCCGCCCGGTCCTCTGTCCGCCTGTCGTGTCGAATGAGAAACACAGCAATTATGCAATTTGATAATACTTCATTCTCGGGTAATAAATATTAATTATTTTTTGCGAATGTGATTTCATGTCCGTGGCCTCTTCTTGAACCTCTCTCAACCGACCCACTGGGCGCTAGTTTACGGAGATTTATGGCCCGCCTGCCTGCAAATGAAATGAGACGGAGACGTCTTCCACTTTTCCCCAATTCTTTTCGCTCAAGATGTTAGCCGGGTACTCGTGCTTTCATGTTGGACATGTGATGGTCCACCTACAATTACCATTGGACTCATTACGCCAACAATTTATAGGAAAGGATATAGTTTTCTGTGTATCCTTTTTGGTGCGGACAGTGTGATTCGAGCGAATAGGTCGTCGGGTCTTTTAGAAATAGCTTAAAAGATATCTGTATTATTAGCAGGGCTGTCACTTGGGCATTGGTTCGGTTCGGGACTAGAACATAAATCAGTGTCCAGTCTCAAAACGGGGTTAAGAAAAGCCAATTTTTTAAGTATAATAATATGGCCAATGTCATATTCGTTGCTTTTCAAAAAACAGGAAGAAAGGGATATGTTTATAAAACGGAACAGAATTTTAAAAATAATTATTCTGGTTCATTTCTGGCTCACTTTCAACATAAAACGCCGCTCCGTTTTGGACTGGTTTACAGCCCATATTATAATATCTATTTTATATATTTATTTATTATTAACTATTATTTTCGTACAATTTACACAGAGATAAAAGATTGAAAGGACTTATATCAGGATTTGGGCAAAGTAAAACTCCTACTATATTCACGTTTTTACTGTGAGTTTGGGAACCTTTCGTTTATGTATTTACTACAAAGTTGTTCCAAAAATATTTCCTAATAGAATGTTTTCAAGAATTCGGGTCAACCGAATAAGCTTATCCTCAACTTCCTTGGTGCATGATTCGGGCTAATATACACATAAGGTGCTAATTAATTTTTTTGGTGTTGACTGTGTGGCTCGTGACAGTCAGCCATAGTAACCACTGAGCTTACTACACTTGCGGACACAGTCGTGTATGCCACAGTCATGTGCGGATAGGTGGGTACATATACCCGTACTGGCACCCGGATCCCCGCCTCCGGGTGTACGAACATTGGCGTAGTCGTCTCTCGCAGGTTGCTTGACTTCCAGGCCGTTAGCTTTCATTTCATTTCGGTTCGTTCCATCAGAAATCTCTCGTGCATAAGGGACATTTTAATTTTGAAAGGGACTCTGACTCCCGTGGAAATTGGCATAACATACACATATCACACTTGCACACAGAGCGCCCAACACACCCACTGGAGCTCACCAAGCCATATAAAAAAATAAATAAAAAAATAACAGAGCCTGGCAAAAGGAATGAAAAAGTTAAATTGAATTGTGTTGGCTCAGAGTACTCACAGACATTCGTATTACTTTGGTCCTGCTTATCCTGCACTTGAAGTTTACGCAACTTTTTCAGTTAGTTCTCGGTCTGTTTTTGTAGGTGCTGCAAGATGCCGACAATGTTGCTAGATGTACTGTAAATTACAAGTGATTCAGCAGAAGCAGGGTTATAGAAAATATTTGTATGGCAACTTTTATATTCATAACTTTTGTGTTTCATCACATCATAGTTCTCAAAGTAAAATGCTATCCATGACTTTTTCAACTTGTTGTAGAACACAACTGAATTCATTTCATATGTATGGGTCCGTATCCTTTTGATAGCCAAAATAATTTCGCGTTCGTGGTGAAGGCAACCTAGTAATTTCCTACGCACCACATAACCCAAATGGCCAACTTGTCGCCAGTAAATGGGCTGCTGTCACGTTATTGGTCTGCCATACTCTAGCTGGCTCGGTTCGGGTGCGGTCTGGTGTTTGGTCTTCTGTTCGGATCTGTTTTATGTTGGGCTGGGCTGCAGTAATCAATTTTAATATACCACCCGAAAGAAATGAGAAGAGCTTTAAGCCTATAACAATAGCGTCTTGTTAATAAGGTCATGTTGATAGTGGAGGCCTCATACGTCGCCATGGCCAAATCATCAGTCAGTCCCCTGATTCAGTATCAGCCGTTACTTTTTATTATAACTCATCCCTGTACAAACTATCCCTCCACTTCCACAATATTGGTTCCAACAGCCAACAAAAACTAAAATTACAATTAACAAATATTTTAAAATATTATGGAATAATAGATAGAAAATAATTAAGCAAAAATACATACATTCTTTCTGCATGCTTTTGACTTTGTTGTGGTTATGGGCACGAATTTAAAATCAGACTAAGTTGTATTTACTGAAACGTTTTTTGTATACTTCCCACGCACATTGCCGGGTGGAGAATACCTAACGACCAATATTTTCCTTCCACTTTCAGCCCTATAAGTAAATTAGGTAAATGGAAGACATGAGGCATAGAACTGTACTTACGCGGGGTCTTTCGGTGCTATATCCATACCCATTTCTTTTGATGACCTCCATATGAGTGCCGTGTATTTGTTAGACAATTATATTTGTTCCGGGAATTTAGTGGATATCAACGATGTATAAGCACGCCGTCCATTCAAATACCACGACAAAACACAATTACTAAGTTCAAACTCGGATATATTTTCTGTATAATGGATTTTCTTTTAATCCGATAAGGGATAAGCTATGCGATCCTTGAAGGGTCTGTCAATATTTGCAATGTCAATGTTTTCATCGTCGAACGCCCACAAGCGACTAGAACCCATATTTTACTAGAACCCATTTTCGAAAAATTTAAGTGAGATTTTGTTGTGAATATTAATGTCAATCTACATGCCAAAAATTGTTTCATTCGGACCCTTCATTAAAAAGTTATAGGCATATAAAGTTTGCAATCTTGGGAACAGACGCTTTGCTACTTGTATATCTCTATCTCCCTGGCACCCATCTTAGCTAAGTAATGGGTATCTGATAGTCGATGGCATCGAGAGAGTCTGGCATAGGCTGTTAAAATCCATACTATACGTGCATGCCTTCTTAAAGGACAAAAGAAGGAATACAAAAAAATGAATAGATTTCATCAGACCAAGTTCTAATTTCGACTCCGGTTAGTATGTCAGTGATGCGTCGTTAAACTGTGAAAGACCGTAAAAAAGACGAACCATAAAAAATGAGTGACCAGGGAATGGAACAAGCTCCGAGCGATTGCCTGCCACAAATGAACGGGGCGCAGGCGAGTAAATCATTTTACAATGGGCCAAAGGCCGCCAACGGCTTTATGGCTCTCATGAAGGACAATCAAGTAATAGCCGGCGATTTTTACGATGACACAGAACTACATAATAAAAGATATATCAGCCACTGTCCGTCCGCCCAGTCGAGCAGTTAAAAGCGGCTCCGGAATTCAACAAGCTCTGCCTAATGCCTAAATCGTTACATTTGGCACGCCAATGTCGGCGATGCATGTTGGCAATCACTCCTCCGGCATTTTCAATTCTCCATCCTGGTTCCCCTGCTGGTGTGTTTCTTTCCCCTTCCTTGTCAGCATATCGGAACTGACGCACATCACGCAAGCCAATAAACCCCGTCAGTCCCGAAACATTATGCATAGAATAAGTCCTCAAAATCACACGCCATTGTATTTGGAAATATTTATCCAAGAGATTGATATTGTAAGTGTTAGAACTTTCAGCTCACGTTCCAACTTACGGTTAAATTCTGAAATTTGTAAATTAACCTGTTCTAACTATAGCCCGTTGCCCAAGATATTATAATTGGGGGATGTTTTAAAACAAGAAATGTTATACGAGTGTGCGGATAATATTGATTTTCAATATAGTAAACACAGAGAGAGAGTTCTGACGTTCTAATCTGATTTGAAAATGTTCTTGAAAATAAACCTAATTTTTTAAGTTAAAAATGCTTTTATAGTGCTTGAAACAAGTTCAATTGGCGGTATTTACATTGTAAATCTTAATAAATAAACTATTAATCCAATCAGTAGTATATACTTATTAAAAAGTTGTTAAAAAAACTGAATTTAACTTATCTCTTATCACCATTTCGTGCTAACACTAAGAACGTTGATACCATAATGTACGGTTTTTAAGAACGAATGTTCTCAATTCAAGAGCAATGTACTTAAACATTTGTCTCTGTGTATCAAAATTATATGTATAAATTTCAAGGAATTAAATGTAAAGGGTTTATTATAAATTTCTAGAATTGCTTTGCCGATAAATATATTGATACAAATGAAAGCTGAAATTGCTGCACCATGACCAAATTGCATTGATTTTAAATGGACTTTTCAATTTGTCACTTGGTTGGACTGAAAGGCTTTAAGGTTCCTGGTTTCGGGGAAAACCCTTGGCCG